AAAAAAAAAGAAAGAAACGGTAATGAATTATTATGAGAAAGATGAATATCAAAATTTAAAAAGAAAACAAAAAAAAATTTCAAAATATTTTTATTATTTCCTGAAACATAAAAAAATAAAAAATAATAAGAAAAACTAAAAAATCAAGAATAGCAAAAATGACTACTCAGATGAAGTGGTCTGATAAATTTATGTCATTATTTAATGAGCTTGTGTCAGAGACGAGTCAAACACAAAACGACATTATAACAAAGAAACTTCATGATTTTGTACTTATAGTAGTAAGAGATTTTCAAGGAGATGGAGTATCTACATTTATCAATGAAATATCTTCAGACCTTTTAGCAGTCCTTAAAAAACCAGAGGTAAGTGAAAAACAAAATAATGCAGTAATTAATCTTATTGATTTCTTTATTACTTCTGATATTGATGATTCTTATCCTCGAACTAATGCCAAAGATATAATTGATTGTATTATGAAATCAACTAATCAAAATGTTATTCGAAATGCATCTTTAGTATTAGGAAAAATTATTCGATTAGGACCACATGATTTAGTAGAGAAAGAATTAGACATTGCTAATAGTTATTTAGAAGTTTGTTATTTTAAATAATAATGAATTATTTGTTTTTAAAGAATAACATTAATATGATAGAGAGAACCAAAAGTTAATGGAGCATTGATTATGCAACAAATTGGATTAAATAATCAAGTTATTTGTTTTATGAATCAGAATAAAATAATAGAAAGTTTACTTAAAGGATTATATGATAGAAATATTAATGCCAGAACAGAGTCACAAAAAGCATTAAGTATATTATTTAATTTATTTACATCAAAAGAATCAAATAATTTTGATCCCGAAGCATTATATAAACAAGCAGTAGTATATTTAAAGCAAACGAATTCAGCAGATCTTCAACATGGAGCATTATTATTAATGGTAAGTTTATTAAGAAATTGTAAAGAATATATGAAGCCTAAATATAATGAAGTATTACAAATGTTTTTAAATGTAAAAGAACATAAATCTATGGTTATTAGAAAAACTGTTATTACATCATTACCATATTTTGCACAATTTGATTGTGATTCATTTGCACCAAAAAATGAAGAAGTTATAGAAAGTTTTCAAAAAGATAGAAAAAGTATTGCAGATTTTGCACAATTTGAACATGATGAATTAACAAAAATTAAATGTGCAGAACCATTTAATGGAATAATGAATTATTTAATTAATTCAATCAAATCATTTAGTGATAAAAGTATTGTATTTACAGTTATTGGAGATATTACACGAGAAATTAAATATGAAATGTATGCATTTGTAGAACAAGTATATGTAAAAATGAGAGAAATTATTAATTCTAAAGAAAAAAAAGCAGAAATATTAAATTCAATAATGTATTGTATGGAACAATTTATTATCAATATTCCAGTACCACGAGTATTTGCATTAATTCATAAAACATTTCCAACATTATTAGAATTAGGATTATCAACACCATTAGTGTCATTAATTAATCAAAGTTGTACTATATATAATAATCCTACATATCGTCTTCAAACACAAAAATTATTATTAGATGTTATTTGTGGTGTGTTATTAGGAAAAGCATTTATTCCATTTGGTGCACCTGAACATTTAAAAATGTTTAATAGAACTATTGTACCAACAGTAGAAGGAGATGATCAAATCATATTAGCACTTAATACATTACATTCATTTAAATTTAAACATAATATTGTACCAGTTGTTAAAGAATGTATAATGAAATATATAGATAATGAAACAAAGAAAATACGTCAAGAAGCTGCAATGTTAACACAAGTACTTCTTCCACCAATTGATACAACAAAAAAATTTATTTCTACACTTGATGTTACAGAAGTATTAGAGAAATTACTTGATCATGGATTAAGTGATCCAGAAAGTGACATTAGAATAGCAATAATGAAATTATTAGATGAACGATTTGATAGTTTTCTTGCACAATCAAGAAATGTTCAAACACTTTTTGTTGTTTTAAATGATGAGAATTTACAAGTTAGAGAATATGCTATTAAAATTATAGGAAGATTAACACATTATAATCCTGCATTTGTTATGCCATTATTTAGAAAAACTATTATTCGGTTATTAACACAATTACAATTTATTAATGATTTGAAGACAGATGAACAAGTAACATTGTTAATGGGTCAATTAGTCAAATCATCAGGGAAATTAACTAAGCCATATGTTGAACCATTATTAAATAGTTTATTACCAAAATTAGAAGAAGCAATAAATAAATCACATAGTACAATATGTATTTATATATTAAATACAATTGGAGATTTAACAACAATTGGAAGTGATAGTAGTCAATATACACAAGGATTAATGAAGTGTATAATTAGTGTATTACAAGATAAAGGAAATTCACAAAAGAAAAGTCTTAGAAGAGAGTCAGCATTAATTGCATTAGGAAAGTTAGTAAGAAGTATTGGATATGTTGTACAACCATATTATGATTATCCTGAATTACTTGGATTATTAATTGAACTTGCTAGTAATGAAAGAAATCAAGACATTAAAATAGAATTAATAAAAGTATTTGGAATTATTGGAGCAATTGATCCATATAAATATAAATTATTAACAGAAACAGAAGGAGCAAACCAAAATGATGATGCTGAAACAGTAGAATCATTATTACCTATTTCACAAGCAGGAACAGAAGAATTTTATGCAATGACAGTAATTGGATTATTACTTAATATTTTAAGAGATAATAATCTTGTTTCTGGACATGAACAAACAGTAAAAACATTTGTTAAAGTTATTTGTTATTTAAATAGAAAAACATTACCATATATTCCACAAATATTATCATTATATTTAAAATTATTTAAAACATGTACTATTAGTGTAAGACCAGCATTAATTAAAGGATTAGCTGATATTATGTATCTTATAGAAAAAAATATTAGAGAATATCTTCCAGAAATATTTACATTAATTCAAGAATGTTGGGATGATACTACAGTATTACCAATATTACAATTAGTATGTGAAATTGCTAAAGTTATGCATGATGAATTTAAACAATATATGCCTCAAATGCTTTCATTAATTATATCAGAATTAAATAAATATGTATTTGAACAAAATAGTTTAGTATTTGAAAAAATTATTAATTCTATTGTTGTATTAGCTGAACATATTGACTTTGAAGATTATCTTCATTTAGTTATTCCAAGTATTAGTGATCTTGTTAATGAACAAGTCCATTGGAGTATTGTTCTTCCTACATTAAAAGCTTTATATAAATTTTTACAATATGTTAATGCAGAAGAGTTTATTAGTAGGTTAGTTCTTCCATTAACTAGACTATTACAAAATGAAATATTAAGAGATGCAACTATGGATGTATTTTGTAGTATAGCAGATGGTCTTGGTAAAAGATTTTTAGTTTATGCTCCAACAATTAAATTTGCATTAAATAAATATTGTCCAAAATATAATAATCAACGGTATGAATCATTAACAATAAAACTTCAAGA